GAACCAGAATATTCGCTGCAACGCCTCTCACAAAGAACGGGGTCTGTCCCCACAGACTTGAGAGTTTCATGGTCGCTACATAGAGCAAAGCGTGAGCTTTCCGAACGGGATGAGCACTCATATGCTCTATCCCTCGAACTTGAGGGTCGGAGACAGTACTTGTAAATGTAAGCACCAGAAATCCTACTCTTGTCGCAAAGCAAGGAGAAGGAGTGCGTTTCTGCTGTAACCTCAAGCTCAGTCTAGGAAGCAAGTGGGGGTCTTCCGCCCAGAGAGGTAGCTTCACCAAGGCGCAGCTCGAGGAACATTTTTGCTACTCAAAAAATCGGAGTCTCTAGTTTCCAATGTCAGTACGCCCTCGTGGTGCTCTTTAGAGAAACAAGCGTGACGAGTTTCAGAGGTGGAGCACAGATATCTTATTTCTAGAGAGTGAGGAATGGCCCTCTCTCCTTGATGAGACCTTCCGATGCATTCGACATGCCGTCCCCCTTCTTCCCTTGAAAAGCAGCCCCTTGCGTGAATTGAACGCAAAATTTGAACATCCTTCCCATAGCTGACTGGCGACCACGAGGTCCAGGATTAAAGATTGAAGAAAGATCATAAAACCATCACTATCCGTACCGATATAATTAGAAGGTCGTCCAATGAATGTCAAAAGCAATGGGAAGAATTGGTCTAACTTTTAGTCTTGCATGTTGTCGGTTTGGCATGCAGGGATTCTTTCAAGCCCAGAAACCACAGGATCCAGTAAGGGGCTGAGATACCCAAGAGCGACCGGCAGACCTTTGCTTCGCTGTGTATAACCGCTGTGTATAACCTGAGATTTCTCCATCAAGGGATGAAGCCTTCGTCCTTCATGGAAAACGAAGTTTTCTGAATTGTGTGGCTGAGATTTCTGCCTCCTGCACTACCGGGCACAGTGCGCTGACATCGCGGTACGGCCATGTCCAATACTCCACTTACTACGACGTTCACGCCTCCAGCGGCGTGCACCTCTATAACACGCGGCTATTACTTCTATGATAATATATATCATGAGTCGTTGCCATCCGTCACAACAGGCAATGTGGATGTTGAGTTTTACATGAGCCTGGGGCCGTCTGACTGGAATACCTGTTTTCCTTCGGGCTATGCCACCATAGACTATTTTTCACCGGGCTTCTGTCCGTATGGATATAGTGCTGCAGGAGCCACAGGCAAATCTTCTGGTAATGGGATAATTTCCGACGCGACGTGCTGTCCCAAGTGAGCTGAAATCCATTACCTTGTCGAATGGATTGTGTCTAATGCTCGAGGATCATCTAGCGGTTATACTGTACAAACAGGATCTGACCTCGCCTGGTATACATCTGACCAATGCGGTTCAGTCAATTTCGATTCTCCAACGTGGACTGTAAAAGTTGGAGAAGCTGTCAAGTCTGCCTCAGGTCCATACGGCGTAAATGCGAGGGGTATCTCGATCCGCTGGCAAGAGGCAGATTTCACGACAGCCTCCTCAACCATCACAACTACCATGGACCCCAAAAAAGCAGAATTTGGCTCTGGATTGAGCCCAATCAGTGGATTGTCAACCGGAGCGAAAGCAGGAGTCGGCGTTGGTGTAGGAATTGGAGTTTCTTTACTACTCAGCGTCACGTATGCGGTATACCTACTCCGGAAAAAGACCAACAGCAAAAACAACATTTCCCACGAAAACAGCAAGCATCTTCTGCCTGAACTATCTGCACTGCAGTCTGATTATCACCCAGAAGGAGATGCTGGTCAGAAAATATTGCATGAGATGCCTCAATCTCAAAATTTGAATCCCGATCCACCCCAAGAGATGAGCACACACAGACAATAAATATAGAAGAACGCTTTCTTCTCGCTCACGGTCATGTCTTTGCATATTTTAGCTTCTTGGTATAGATAGATAGGAATAACATCCACGGACTGATGGGACAAAACCGATTTCTCCACGAAAAATAGAACGTTTCACTTTGAGGTTGGCTTGCCCTATCCTCGACATATGACTTGAAATTTATGTTTCTCAATGGTCCAAGTAATTGAGCATAGATTATGATAAGTGATAGTTTTAAACAGAATTCACCACTCACAAGTCTTCAGCATACTGTAGGCGAGCCCATGAGTACACAGTCATTCAATTTTTATAGACTGATGGTACAATTCAATATATTCATACTACTACTCCTATTGTATGATAGAAAATAGATGACATCCAAAATAATCTATGGGTTGGATTAGAATCACCTTCTTTATCTCATTCTCTTTAGCTATCACCCTAAATCCATTCATAGCTAGGCCATTTGAAGGTACTAGGGCGAAGAAAATATGCTGACCATGGTTCTTCAACTTTTCAACACTCTTAGAGTAGCTAGATCAGACTTGAATTAAATAGGGTCTGGCCAAGCCTCAAGAAGGACCGAAGAAAATAGATGAGTGAAGCTAAAATCAAGTGAACATGTACAAATAGAGCGAATAGGCAGAACTTGAACCAAGAAAATTGGAATACAGGAAGCGACAAAAATTTGGAATTCTCAATCAGTTCGATTAGGCAATTCTCGTGATCTGCCTTCCTCCTTTCATTTTGTATCACCTTATACGCATGATTGCGCCTTGGGTGCTCGATATATATTGTCGATTGCCCAGATAGCGGCGAAAAGCATGACAAGATAAGACAGTCTCCCCAACAACACACTCCGCAGAATCAGGAATAGTTGACTTGATGACCGCCAAGGCACTGAAAGTAAGTGTTCCGGTACATGGTAGCTCATATTCGCAAACAAGATAATCTATTTGGCCATTTTAATCCACAATGCTTGATGGTCGAGGAAATCAAATGTCCAGGTTATCTTTGGTAATACAATCATTTATGTTAGCGATGACTATGGGTGAAAAATTAGGCGATGGTATTTTTACGTCTTTGGACTGTTACAACGAGACACTAGCCACGGTAATGGGAGCGCAGTTCATATACATTTCACGATTTCCCATTATATTGAACCACGTCCAGGTCAGAGTGTATTTTCCGGGCTTAACGCCTTGGGCCATTGCAAAATTGAGATACATCCCATTTTCGGCCGTGGCTCCTCCGGAGAGTTTCTCTGCATTCGCGTGCAACCCCCTTCGTAGGATTTGATGAACTCCCATTCAGATCCTTTGATTCGCTCACGGTCTTCGGTCCGGCTCAGTTGGCATAAACCACCACCATGTGTCGCGCTTCCTTTGAACCTCATTATGCCTTCAATGCCGATCTAGTAGACAGGTCTGTTGAAGGGGCCAAGAATGCATCTGTGCGTATGTTACAAGGAATAACGCTGCCATGTTCAGAGAGAGGAGAGTTGTTGAGGGAGCCTTGACTGTGTGGCTCAGGCGAAATCATGATCAGATGCCCGCTGACCACCCGTAAGATGATCGTCTCCAATAGTAGAAAACTTTTGATGAGCATTATGACGGTGGTATCCCGGCTTGATCCTGGCTTTGTTGAAGTACCACTTTACCAATCGAATCTCACGTACTGAAGAGGGTGCCAAAGCCCGGGAGATACTGGTTTTATAAGACTATACAGCAAAGCACAGAATCAAAGCTAGTTGTTTCTTGAAATGATTGTAAAGAAAGGTGATGTGATACGACCAGGAGTTTGCTCATCATAGTGATGCCACACAGTGACACTAAGGAAGGATTATGAAATAAGAGTATTGATCCACAGGGTGGAACCACTTGCGTGACTAGCGGTATCGTCAAAAAGGGCTGTAAATTCCTAGTGCGTGCGAAGATCATCATGTGAAAGCTGTCAACGTCCTCACTGATTTGAGCCTCCTACCCCATTCCTTACCTGCACCTTTCAAAGTTCTTAGACCGCAGTATCAAAATATTCACTTGAAATCTAATTCAGTACAGTGTTTTGCTTACAATAAACTTCCGGCAATATTAGCCAGTGGATGGTGCAGCTTTGTTTCCAATCTGCGCAATACTCATATCAAAGCATGATGAACGGAGCACAATTGAAATGCAAAGGTAATTGAGAGCTGAAATTCCCTGCTAGTGCAAGGCGGACCAATATTTACCTGGTGAGTTAATTGTTCGATGTCGTAGCGCTCAACGATAATTCACCGAAGTCAATAAAGGTACTGTAACAGAAATGCATTACTGTAACTAGGCTGTAGATCACAATCATATTATCTGACTCAAGAGTCTCGATGGAATTTTCAATGTAATACTGTAATCAGGCTAACAACTCATGAGAAGAAAAGGTTGAGATGAAGTCGATTCGCCCTTTATCTGCCATTCTCAAGTCTTACAGAAGCCAGTTAACTAGCCGTACTTGAGGCGTGCCAGGAAGGCGGAGAGAAGATCATTTCCATTTCCGTTATCTCGTACTCCACCCCGGTCACCCAAGCTCGCTAGCGATGTATTCCCGCCCATAATCCCTTCGAGGTTTAGCATAAAATGAAACTCAGCATTGATCTTCTTCAAATATAGAAGTGACCTTAACATCATTACATGCCCAGGGGCTATTTTTTATTCCCTCGAGAGAAAGGGGCTGGTTGGAGGCTAAGTGCATAATCGTGAATTTTTATTCTAAGGGGCTGCTGCATAATAGGTTGCATTGGAGAATTGTTAGTGAGCATGATGCAAGGGGCACGCTCTTGTCCTAACAGGTATAAAAAGCAACGTCACAAGGTCGCACCATTTGAAACTTGTGTCTTACGTCGAAGGTTTCAATTGCCTCAATCATGGAGCATAAGCGCCATATCTATCTGGCCTGCAAAGCTATTTTTTCTTCTCAAAATGCCTCGATCCGGAAAAGAAAAACCATTCAAAAGCGTCTCGAAGATCATAGATCGTCGCTCCAGTCTTTAATACCGGATTTTGATCTCAAAAAAGTGGCGATTATATGCCAAACTCTTCTCGAGAGGCAAATTTTTCAGTCAGAGATAAAGGCGAAGCTCGAATTTCCCGAGCTTTTCACAGCTGCATTGGATGGAAATTCCCATCATATGACATCGGAGGAGGAGGCAGCAAGGTCGGAAGCAGAAATCATTGAAGGAATTACACAAAACTATGAAAGGGAAGAATCAGGAGCGGACACAGAACTTCCATTCGACGATTGCAAAGAAAATTCCGATAATCAGCAACTCGGCTGCAGCCAGGTCATGAGTTCCAGGCCTCTAACATCGCGAAAGCCAAGAATGCCATCATTTTATCCTTCATACTTCCCGTACCATGCTCAGCACTCCATTCTTTCGACAGTGCAGCGCGTTTTGGAGGAATCCTGCTTTGAATTTGCACAAAAATGGTTCCCCATGGACATTAAAGAGCACGATTGGGACTGCGCCGAGGCTGTCGAACTTACAAAATGGACGAGGTTGATCCAGAAACGGAGCTCAGAGCTTCCTTGCGGCAGTCTACTATTGAGCGGCTCAGAGCTTAGCATCGCGTTATCGGCCGTTCATAAAATCCGCCACACTGCTGTCCATAGATTATTGACTACAGCACGAGGCATAGATACGCTTGTGCTCTCTGCCATGCGTGTGACTGGGATTTTACAGGATACGCTACGCACTTCCCAGTTAGAGGATCTTCATTTGGATCTAGTGAGTAAAATTGAAACAATGGAGCTTCAGAAAAAGGCTCTCGATAGTTCCCTTGCACAAGATCTGGAAGATGTACGGCTACAGAAAGAGCAACTGGAGCAAAAGGAAGAGGCTCTCAGGGAGAGAGCTGTGAGCAATGATCAGGACATGAAATCCTTGATGGGCATTTTGATAGCAGAAACAGTGGAAAAGGTGTTCAGTCATGACTACAAGGATCAATGGGAAGCCGAAATGTTGGGGTTCGCTACTGCTGACGAGGGTGACGATAGTTCAAATTAGTTTTTGAGGAAAATTAGTTTCTGAGGGAAATATGTGCCATTACGAGAAGAATGGGAGAACCAGGAACGTTGTGGAAGCTTCTTAAATATTTGCTATTAATATTCATTCCAAGGCTTCACTTCGTCGAGCGCCTTGTGAGGGAGTCAGGAAATTTCATATGATTCCTGCCGATTTTGCTGGTCGTATAATGGCGGGCAAGAACCTAAATCGACTGCAAATAGAGTTGTATGTGCCCTTGGATACAGTATCACTAGGACATCTGCGCTGGTACAACAGCATGATAACCATGTTAGAGTTTGCGTGGGAATTCTGACCAGCTGACCAAAACCTTCTTCGTGATCGGCCGTCACGGGTACTGTAGCAAAGTAGACCTGTTGGGAATCACATTCTCATTCGCACTTCCTTGGCGGTCCACGATGTAATTATAGATGTCAGTGCATTGAAATTGTGGTAGGGTCAGACGGAAGAACTTATCAGGTGCCTCAAAAGGAAGGCCTGCTTGACTCTGGAAGCGAAGTGAGAATATTGTAGAACAAATTGCTTGGGGAGGAGGAAGTATTAATAGGCTCCTCAGCTCCAGTCGCGTAAAGTCCTCTGCTCGATTGTAGACGTGAAGGGACACAATGCCTCTCCTAAGTGAGGCAGGTTCTAATACCCCAACTATCTACAGCGACATCGTCGGCACTTTTTGAGATGCCCGCCGATCAAAAATGCCGGTCATGTTGAAAAACAGTGAAGCTGAGTTGGTTAAGAAACGTTGGCTCACTGTTCATCGTTCCATCTTCCATATTGAGGCAATGAAAGCTATTCAACTTTTAATTTTGCCAATAGCACCGACATTTTCATCACTGCGCATCATGGATTGTGTGATTTCCGGGTCGTGCTTGAATGTTGGTTGTCTAAGTCGTGTGTAGTGTTCCGTCCGTCAGGACTCTGGATTGCGGAAGCGTCAGGCGACGATCGTAGGAGCAGGTCCTCGAACCGTCGTTGACCGGAGTCAACTTTCGAACTTGTGATTCTTGTTGATACACGTTATTCACTAATTTTTTTTTTGGTATTTCTCAATTTTGTTCTGCGGGACTTATGAGTCGTTCAAATAATGTAAAAAAAATGTTGTGACATGATATATGTCTTTCGGCATGTTCATTCCACCGAGAACTAGAACAGGAGGTACATTCACCACATAAACAACACAAGACACAAGATTCACACCCAGCATCACCATGACGGGACTTTGAACCGAGCGCTAAGAGTCCTCAGATTCTAGGCAAAGTTCAACTGCGTTGAATGACTTTTATGTTGATAGCTAGATTTCATACTTCATCTAATCTCTTTGTCTGTCTAATCCCACAATGGGGCCCGGAATTCTTGGGAGCTGATCTGATTTTTGGTGAACCATGTATCTTGTGTTTTAAGCTTGAGTCTGGAAATCAGAACATTGGCTCTGAGGACCTCAAAGCGTTTCTAGGAGCTTTGCACCCCTAGGAAATGCTTTTTCGCTTCTAGGGCTGTTCTAGGCTCCAGGAATACGAAATCTACTCCTGGGATTCTTACACTGTGCTCCTAGCTAAATATGTAAATGGCCCTAGAAATACACCATCCAGATCTAGGAGCTACAAAGCCCCTGGGAGCATAATTTGGGATCTCAGGGTGACCATAGTACCTTTCCAATCCGCGGAAAGCCCTCAAAAAACACCTTCACCAATCCTACGCATACTGTAAGTCTGCGCAACTAAGTCATTTCTAGAAGACTGAGCTATAGCCCCAGGAGCGCCACTTACGCCTCTAGGAATCAACACGTCGTCAATAGGAACTTGGCTTGAATCCTCGAGATGAGTATGAGGGTCTCACGTATACGTAGATGGGGACTGACTTTCGTAGATGAATAATCAATATAAAGAACAGCTAAGTTATAGTCGACTCTAGATACAAGATGTAGCGCGAGGAAGCAAAGGAGACGAGGTTCCTCGTGTTCAGGGGAACCCAGATGAACGAACCATGTGGGTCCCGCAGATCGTATCTCCATCCTTCCTGTATGCTTGATGTATGTATCTGGCAGATATACACAATTCACTCCTGAGAGCTTTCCAAAAGCCTTCAGGAAGCCAAGTTGATTTTTATTAACAACTTATTCATCCCAAGAGGCGTAAGTGGCGCTCACTAGCTCATTATATCATATGTTATGTTCCATCACATGTACTGATGGTATTCTTTTTATCACTCTAATACGCTTTACCCAATAAGATCTGTCTCTAGTTACTGGATCTTGACACAAAAACTTCCATCACAGCACAACCAATCTATAAATGCCATAAGAGAATGATAGCTCGTCCACTCATCATCAGCCTCCACTTCAAATATGCATTGGGAAGCAAGCTCAATGAATATGCCTGCTGCGAATATAAAAAAGATCAGAAGCCGAATATCTCTTCCTCGGGTGTTTGTAAATGTGTTCATTGATCAATAACTCACGATCTGGCGCTAAAAGAATTGGCTCGTAAAAAGCAACAAACGCTATGTGATGAAGGCAATACGCCTTAGACGCACTTCACGATCTAGCATCTTAAATCGCTGTATTGATTGATTCATTGGCTGGTTCATGGTCGGTTGCACGTATAGTTCTATATTTGCAGGTATCGACATGTCGATCAGTGAGGATCCTTATTTCAACTCGTACGGCTGATGTCTGGGATTGAGAGTTCCTCCTGGTCTTCAAGCCCAACGAAAACGGATGGATGCCCTTTCTTTGCATTTTGTAATATAAATAAACGGGCTTCCTTATCCAACAAGAGTTATGGTCAGAGACGCGGTGACTTGCTGCGGAGTTGCATGGTCTTCGTTCGATGATCTCTACCGGTCTTCGTGGCCGTGGGCGCTGAGTATCATAGTTTGTTGAATTTGGATGAGGAAGGGACATGCCGCTCTCCACAGCTGCAAGTAGATTGCGGACTGCGAATGCGCTGATCGGAATTTCGACTTCATTGGTGTTGTCATTATCATGGATGACAATGGCATAGAATCTTCCTTTCCGTTTGTATAAATATTTGAGGATGTCGTGAGCGAGCAAGATGCCTTGCGCACACAGCTCATCTGGTCGAAAAGGGTACACGCATTTGTGACAGTGGTCCACATGGTATTGATAAGTTTCTATCACATAGTGTTCATCTCCATGGAGAATTCGCACGTCAAGATCAGAACCAGAAGTACCGGGGAATCCGGTAGCTGTCGGCATGGCGATGAAAAGTTTCTTAAAAAAAGATAAGCGGCCATCAAAACTGAATAAGTGCTTATATCTCTGGTCCATATATACAGTGAGAATCGAAAATAACAATCGACTTGCGACAGCCATCAGATGGGGCTATTTAGGAGCTCAGTGCGTCGAGTGCTGGAATGAGCCCATAGAACGAACCTGTTGAGAATTTACCACAATGCTTGGCAACAATTTCGTGAGGCTGAGGTCGTTTCAATATATTGACATGGTGGGTTGCTATTGGATGTTATTCAGGCATGCAATGCCGGCGCTTAGTGCCAAAAGTCAGAGCACTTGCTCCGAAACCGCGAGCAGATCTATTCTAGATGCCAAGGCTATTTCTGATGATATTGGAAGTCACAATACATCAATTAGTATCCGATACGCGCCTGCCTCGATACTTGTGACGAAGGCTTCAAATCACAAGCCAGCACCGTGACTTTAGATTTATAAAAATAGCTCTCGTTACAACACGGGGTTTAGCAAAGGATTATCGCTCATAGCATCGGATATGCTCGCCTTCTCCCAAAATAGCACAAAATCATACTCGCCTGGTTCTTGCTGGGATAGCTAGCAGAACTCTATAACGAGGCAAGAAAGCAACTTGACAAGAACGAGCGATATAAGAAGAATAAGGGCAATGAATATTGCGATTCTTGCTAACCAAATTTTTTTATGCGGCACAGTGCCCTTGAGTACTCGGATTGGCTGCTGAGTTGGAACGCCCAATAGTGTGATTTGATTTTGGGGTCCACGTCGATCCGCTCGGTTCGGCGCGACCCTCCAGCCGAGGGCTACTACACTTGAAAGGTTGACAAATACAATAGGCTTCGACTCTTTTACGAGGACGAAAAATACAGGAACCACTAGGATTTGCGCATTTTTGAAAAGCGACACCGCTCTTGAACGACCGGGCGCCAAAAGTTGGGCTGCCGCGGGCTCCGAAGAGGGTCTGAGCGGGGCGTGAGAGCTGCCACGCATGACAGAACTAACCGTCAGCGTTTTAGCCGCAATGCATTATTGCGTTAGTTGCTCTTCGGTACCATGGAATGCAGAAGATGCCCGGATTGCAAAATTTGGGCGCTGCAGGCGAAGTTGCGCGCGGCAGACAAGTGGCTTGGAGCCCCCTATTCTGGATCCTGTCAATATTCAATGGGGTCTTTCAACCAAAATCCCCCTGGTTTCGGCCTGTGATACCGCAATGTCTATCGCGCAGGCTACAGTTGAACTCGCCGCGGAATCCGGTCTGGATCTCAATGCAACGGACGACCATGGTAACACACTTTTGGCATTGGCGGCAAAACACGGCAATATTTTACTGGCAAAGCAAATTTTGGGATACCATCGCCTGAAGGTCAATGCAAAAAACTACTGTGGTAGAACTCCTCTTGCCCAAGCAGCGACATGGGGACACATCGGTGTTGTGGCTTTGCTTCTTCAAAATAGCGCGGTTGATGTGAATTCTGAAGACAATTATGGAAATACTCCATTGGCCCTTGCCGCTGAGGAAGGATACGAAATCGTAATAAAAGCCTTGCTTGAGCGGGAAGAAATCCAAGCAGACTCGAGAAACGTTTTCAACGCCACGCCGTTGGCATTGGCAGCTGAGCGAGGACATGAAGCTGTGGTGGTCTGCCTACTCAATCGTCACGACGTGGAAGCCGACTCAGTTGATAAGGAGGGTTGCACACCTCTCTCTCGGGCCGCGGCAATGGGATTTGAGGACATAGTCCGCATATTCCTCGGCCGACCAGACGTGGAAGTCAACTCAAAAGACAGAGACGGCTATACTCCTCTGGCATGGGCGGCGAGAAGAGGCCACGGCGCGGTCGTTCGAGCGCTACTCGAGGGAGGTAAATTGGAGATTGAATCGAAAGATAATGACGGGAATACAGCTCTTATGCTAGCAAGGGAGGAAGGGCACGAAGAAGTCGTACAACTACTGGTTGAAGCAGTTGAAGCAGAGTACTGCTAGCTCCATTGAACTGTATGAATCGATTGCCTCTTCCGCTGAAAACCTAAATCCTCTTGGGATTCCACTGCTTGGAAAACAAGCAAGCCTTTGATTACTTGCCTCTAGAGAATCGCACATAAGAAGATTAACTAGAGAGATTTTTATCCAGCCTGGGAACCGATTTTGATTAACGTTGGCCAAGGAGGCTCTACTACTGAAGCACGGAAATACGAAAGCCAAAAAAAAAAAAAACAACATTAGTAACGATCAAAAGCCATGTGCGGTGATCATGATCATTGAATTTGACGTCACTCTGGGCCAGAGGTTGAAAGTCACACTGCTGCTGAGGGCGCCATCAATTGTGAAACACACATTTTGGCTCTGGATTATTTTGCTCCTGGGAACTTTTTGGTGGTTTCTGAGGGTCTGACCTATAGGTAGGTAGATGGGGAGTGAGTCGTAGATGAACAATCGATACTAAGGAAAGCCATAACTTAACGTGATTCACACCGAAGCTGCGCACCACACCCAAGCTTCATCCTTTTAGATGGATTTTCTCAACCAAAACGCTATCAAATTGACTAAACTAAATACATAATCTAGTGGGACAGGACCTTGTATTGTGCCCCTGAATTCCACAATCTGAGCATCTCGGTAACGCCCTCAAACATGGCTGTAAAGGTGCTAAACCATGATTTACATCATTAGATCCTTGCGCTAAATCAGCCTGCAAGCCTGCACTGGCTGTAATATCAAGGCTGATGCCTCTGGTCCCTTGCGTGTGCCCTGTATATGATGCATCCGAGATATGTCTACATTTCCAAAGTGAGGACTCCGTTTCCTTTTGTTTTTGGAAAGGGCGGTGCGCGATATTCTATGGTAGGTCACGAGAGAAGCCACCGGCTGGCGACGTATGATTAAATGGCTATTTAGGCAACATGGTCTCCCCCATCCCAGCATACCTTTGATGCAGTCCAAATACTTCGGGGTTCTCAGTTTCGCCAGTTGTCACGTTCTAATAATAATGAGAGCCCCGTGGGTGCTGATTTATGGTCTCCTACTTTTCATTCCTTTTGTATTTGCCGGACCAGCTGCCTACGGGATCTGCCAAGCCGGATGTGCCGCCGTTGTGATGGCTTGCTACTCGGCAGCAGGCTTCACTTGGGGAGCTACTATGGGTGCTAGTGCGCCTGCCTCTGTCCTTGTATGCAACTCGGCTTTTGGCACATGCCAAGCAGCTTGTGCTGCTGCTCTATTGGCACCGACACTCTGAGATTTGAGGCTATCACGTAGATACTTCTTAACTAAGACGCGCTGCGCTGGCTTTGAACGGAATTCGAAAATCAACAAACGAAGGTGAGCGATCAATCTCTCGGATTTCACAGTATTCACCCGACTAAGCAGATGAAGGGAAATGTGATTTTTCTGATCAATCGGATTTCTTCACGAATTGTTGCATAGTTCATTTCACGATTCTTGAGATGTGTTTTCCTATAGAATGTATATGGGGGTGTGTCATGCTGCTTCATCGATGTCTTGGGTGTCAGGGATCAGTGAGCGTTGAATGAAATACGTAATATTAGTACAAATTTTCTCCTTTCACCGGTATACTGTCCCGTAACGATGTATAAATCAGATAAATCGCTTGATCATGGCAGCCGGCCGATATGACAACTGCGGCACCAGTCCCCGTTGTTAAGGTAGAAAAATAATTCAATCGGGAGGGGCGCGCGCCATCGCGCAAATCGAGTACACTCGCAGTTGAGGTAAAGTGAAATAATTTAGGGGAAAGCGGATTAGTATTGAAAGGCGTCACTTTGACAAGTTTAGGCGATTGATGTTGGGGTCCTGGCAAATGCACGTGTTCTGGCTGTTGTCGGATCTTATGGTTTGTTTGATTGAAAATCTGCAGCTATTTTGAATTGATGGTACTGTAGCAATCAAATGTAAACGTGTGGACTTCGATTGGTCACAAGCGAGGCTGTAAATGCAGCCGCTCAGCTGGAGTTTCGGCCGACTGTACCCCGAAGCTTGCTTCAATTTAATGACTTCCTCGGCAAAGCTTTACTGGCCCGCCGCTACGGTCGCATCTGCGGCTCGATTTGGAAAACTCCTGCATTACCACTTGCGACCGTGGCGAGTTTGATTCCTGGACCTGCCATCGGTAGGACTGACACTTTTTTGAGCTGGAAATGCTCACATACATTGCTTGATGTCTCCTGTTGTACAGTAACAAGTCACCCAGATATCACTCACCTTTTCATTCGCCTGCTTATCTCAACCTTCCTATTCCAAGTTAATCTTCGCATCCGTTTCTTGCATGTACCATTGTCGGAAAAAACCACACACGCACACACAAACGCAATTTGTTAACACCCGGCGGCTCAGCCGAAAGGGCAACTATCTCTAATCTATTTTACGCGTCATAATATATACAGTACCGTGTCTCCTTAAAGCCCATGCATAAAACCTTGGCAAATATGTCATTTCCAGCAAGCAGTGTCGCAGCGGATTCTCATGGGTTAGTAGTTTTGTTAGCAGGCTAGCTTGAAGGCGCTTCTCCAAGTGTTCAACATCCTATTTTCGGCATTTGAAGCGCGTGTACCATCTGTGACACGAGGTGGTTGGTGGGTTAGTTCGGGAAAAAGGTTGATTTATGTTCGTCGGCATGGTTAGGTGGCCTCGAGTCGGCCCGTGGCGATGGCGAATCGTATAGAGGCTCGTACCGCCTCTAAGTTCGGCGTCCACTTCTGAACATCGGAAGGGGACTTTCCTCCTAGGAAGAAGGATATATTTCCTCGGTGGGTGTTGGTGCATTGTAGTAGTTCCGTCCGGTGTGCCGTCCATTTTTGACATCGAAATAGGAAGTGTTCCACGGTATCTCTCGCTTGTCCACACGCACACTGGTCCGTATCTGCTAGTTTGATTCGATAGAGATATCCATTGAGTCGTGCCATGTCGGTTCGAAGTTGAGCCAGCACGCTCGCTTCTTTCCACGATAGTCGGTCATACAGCTGCCGGGTGTGTTTGCCCGGGTGTGCTGCATTAACTCGTTTTGCGTGTCTCCCTATGATCCCTGGCAGGTCATTGCTGGGGACTGCTTGGGAGCGTGCGATATTCAGTGTTGTTGACTTCGTTCTCGGGACGCGTGCTTGCGGGCGAGCGTCTTCTTGTGTCGCGGCTCTGGCCTGTTCTTTAGCCATACCCCGCAGTTTACTGTCTTCGCTCGTTGGGATCCACCGGATATTGATCTGGGTTCCATTTCTCCGTAGCTTTCTCATCAGTTTGTACAGTTGGCAGACGAGTTCCTGGCCTGACTGTTGTCGGGGATTCCTTAGTGTCAGAGCCGCCGCTTTGTTGCTCGTGAGCAGCGTGATCCTGTAGTCTTTCAGTCCAACTACCATATTTAGTGCGTGTGCCATCGCGGCTAGCTCCGCAGAGAACGGATTTTGCTCTGCTCTTGCACCCAATGTGACGGAAAGGGTCTTCAAATTCAGTTTTCGATATCGAGGTGGCTGCCTTTCGATCGCCACCCCGAATCCGACCAGCTCGTTGCGTGCCGAACTGCTCGTTGCGATCTGCATTAACCCGCCTGGTGCGGTCGGGGACTGTGGAGTTACTTCACCGCCAGCCTGTACGCGCACTTCCTATGGTGCCAATGTAAACAGATTGATGGTTTCCAGGGTTTCCATCTCAATGTTCTTCAGCGCGTCTGCTACTTGATACAACGGCGAATGGTGGTACCTTCTGAATTTCTTGATCTGAGCTGTACTCCTGCGGAGAGGGTTGGTTTCTGGCAGGGTATGTATGTCCGTCCACTCAAAAGACATTAAGTAGCTTCGACAGGTCTACTTGCATAGACCACTACCCCAGCTTTTCACCCGATAAACGAGGTTTCTGGACTCTTGAGGTGGACAAAGCCTCTCACCCTGGGTGTCTCTTAGTTTGCTCCTTAAGCATACATCACGGGCAGATCAACTAGGACGACACCGCTTCAACCAGGCTATCCTGATCTCAGGCCCTCAGTGCGAGTGAGGTAGTTGGTTCCCGGCTGTTTGTAAACCGACACGCGCATCCGTCCTCTCGGGCTATACAGACAGTCTCTTGACAGGCCCCAACCCTGCCGCAGTGGCTGCCATTGTACACCACGCCCCGCGAGAGCCTTCACTCTTGTTTCGCGTTACCTGAGGAGGTCTCCCTCCGCCAGGCCGACCGTGCCTTGCGGAAAGACCTCCATACGCTCCATCCGGCAGTATATGTCGGTTGCTCTCCACTAACCAAGCTTGGTCCCCGGTGTCTGAGCAGGATCGACGGGTTGCCCGTGGCAAAGCCTTAACGAGTCCCGCTGACTGCCACCAGTCAAATACCAATACTTCTCCAGCTTGCGCGTGTGTCTCCCAAGAGGATGCCCGTGTCTCGGCGGTGCCCGTGTCCCGAAGAGCAGTCGCCCTGAAGCTTGCCCGTGGCTGAGCCTTAACGAGATTACAGCGAGCGATCTCTCCGAGCCTTAACGAGTTCGAGTCTTACCGAGGCCTCTGGGCCTTGAACGAGGTCTATCCGATATTTGCTTGACTGCCTGTGTCACCGGTTCACTACCACCTCGCCACATCTCGCAAGATGCGATCCCAGGCCGTATGCAAGCTCAGGGGTGTCCTATCTTCTCCTTAGGCGACACCACTTCCACTGGTAATGCAAGACCAGTATCGGGCCCGAGTGCGAGTCGGGTAAGAAGAAATCGGATGGTGTTCATATGCCGTTATCCCCTGATTTTGGTGTGGTTGTGCGGTCGCTTCCCGCACCGGGCCCGACCGCACAACCACGGCGGATTCAATTTGGTCTCCCCAACCGGGATTAACACCGGACACCACGAGAAGGTATGAATCCATTGTCCCAACAACCTGGCGAGGGCGATCACAACTAGATGTGTGTTGAATCATTTGTAATCAGATGGGTGGTTGATACCCTAAGCATTAAATATTCCAAGCCCTTTAGGCATTATCCAGAAGCGATGCAGATCCCTGGCTACCGTGGCGTCTCAGTCTGTCTCTCGGTCCAAGCTCATGCCTTTTCGCCCAATCTAATGTTTGCCACAATAATTCCGAATTCCTCGTAAAGATACTGTTGGATATCAATTTATATATCGTATCGTGCGAAAACTCAAACTTTGGCAATTACATGACCGAAAACATGTTCCATACTTCCACGACTGTGAGCCCTAAGATGCCCCTTAGATGCCGCTCTCATCTGCATCATAGCCCGTCTCAATTCCCGGAGCTGTCAGCGCGTCCAGATCCTTTTCCACGGCCTGATGGTCAAACCTTGGCCGAATTTCCATCTAAAAAAGGCTTCCCATTTGGGCCTGCTGTTGATTGTCTTCTGGGACGATTCGAAGACCTTCTGGTAGGGGCGTAGCTCGCTATTTGAGCAGCTTCCTGCTGCGCTGCCAAATACAATGCCTGGGAGCTGCGGAGTTGGATGGTCTTTGTCAATGGATCATAGTCACCATCTTCCAACCCTGAAATGCACGGGAAAATATTGAGAATATAAAGGCCCTGAAGGTCCTGTGCCACCGGTATTGTATTTTCACCAGCGGAAGGGAAACGGTCCCATTCACTGTCTTCGGGATCAAAAGGTTCGAAGTCTGTCGCAAACTTCTGTCGCGATCGTTGGATTGGAAGCCAAGCTTCGGCCGCGCTCTGAACTATTTTTTTAATTTTAGTAGAAAACAAATCATGCTGCGACTCCGCAAAGAGGCCACCCGCATAAGAGAGCATTCTGTGGACTACAGCTTGAATCTCGGCTTTAAGAGCGTTACGTTCAGCATCTGGGTCGATAGAGAGAAGCATGCAGCGGAAAAACGCTTCCTTCTCGCCATTGCTTTCTGCAAGATGTTCAAGGGTTTCACGAAAATTGTTGTTCTCTCTCAGAGAATAGCTGGGCTGGAAAATCCGTTGATTAATCTCCCTGAACAGAATAGCCAGGATCAACGCAAATCGTATCGCTTTGGCTGCTGAGGAATTCGAGGGAATCAGAGGAAAGCTTGGTGGCAGAATGATGTCAACCTTCCTAAGTTTTTCCCATATTGCCTTCTCCTTTTTATTCTGTCAGTATTGCATGGGTGAAACGGCTCCCGAGAACTGACCTTGAGAATATTTTCCGGAATATCCTGCTCTATGAGTGGGGATAATTCGGTTGTAGCAGAGGTCCAGAGGCTTTTAAACTCCGTTGTCCTATGGTAAAGGCGACAGAAGTTAGTTCACAAACGCTTGCAACTATTTGACATGACTTACGCAAAGTCATCATCAACGTCCGGATATTGGACTGTGAAATCTTCCATTTTCTGGATACGGTCTCGGATTGTCTGCAGCTCTGTTCTCATCGAGGCGTTGGCATCCTCCAGATCTCTGCTCTTTTTCTGCTCGGAAGATAACACTAATTTCAATTTCGATCCTGCTGTCTTCATTTGATCTATCGTCTTGTCTTTTTCCTTCGAATTGTTTTGCAATGTAGTGATGTCTCTTACAGACTGTGAGACCTTCGCGGCCTCCTGGGAACAAGTTGATTTTAAAACTTTTATCTCCTGCTGTAGAGACCCCAAATTGTTCGAGTATTCAGCAATTTTGATTTCCTTCTCGTGAACAGTAGCACGGAGGGATTCAATTTGCATAGCAGAGTCTTGCTGTTTTGATTTTTCATCCTGGTTGGCTTTAAACATCCCGCTGATGGTGGTTTTGTTTGCCTTCAGCTCTTCATCTTGGGAATGAATTCGCTCACGCTGCTGGGTGATCTCGTCAAGCACGCTCGCTGCAAACTGAGATTCAGAGCTTGATGCTAGTATACTCATATATTTGATAAAGCCTTCTAGGCTGCCGGTATTGGCCACGGGTAGTGCACTATGCTGCCCTGGACTCAAGGGCGAAGAAATGATGGGAGGCATGACAAAGAATTGCTTTGGTGAAGTGTTCAAAAGGATCCGGAATGGTTGAGAAACTGTTTAGCCTCGAATTCCTGTCAGAGGAGAAGGTTAATATATTCGTCGTCATCTCGCGACGGCGTTGGCTCTGTAGCAACAGGTTTGAGGCCAAAAAGCTGAGCCTCAGATGAGGGGAAGGAATCAGTGATGCGGTTCATGTATGCAAGTGCAGGGTAGGTTGCGACGTGTTAGTGAGTTTGTGGCCGTCAATTAAGCAGATACACGATGCCCAGGCTGTTACGTGTCATTTTGATTATGGTCGCATCACTGAGGCTGCTGCAAATCTCGGAGATGTGACCAGGAGGTTATCTAGGACAGTCGCACATTGCTGACGAGGAGCAAGACCACCACCGAATCGAAGGCACTGTGGGTACCCACCTTTTAGCCTATCTGACCAGCCAATAAAGTCAGACTCCAGCATCATCACGTGGGTGTACGGCGAAGAACTCCGTCGGTAACCTCTGGTCGCCCGTAGATTATCTCAAAGCCGGGTTAAAGCCAGAACGATTGGTCTAGGGGAGACTTAGAACCGGAAGCCAGCTCATATGACAGCCTTATTCCACGGCGGGTGAACTGGAGGTGAAAAAGGGTGAGAGTCTCAGGACCATTGGTCGTAGAGCTATTTTAGTCCTACGATCGTTCACTATAGAACAAGTATGGGGTAATCTACAGCTCGGGAGTGCTTGGTCCAGAATCAAGGTCTCCGAGGTCTCGTACCCTCTTCACTGTCGGCTACATCGTGAATCGGATGATCAACTACCTAATCCCACCAATTCCAAGTATGGCAGCTTGTTAAAAGTCTTTGCATGATTCAATCATAGCCAGATGACCTGGCGTTCTTAGTCTGACGGGCCAGGCTACTCCAAAAAGGAGCTGGGAGTAATATGAGACCAATCAGGGACTCAGAACTCCCACGACCCCTATTTTGTATTAGTTTTAATTTCATACGGAGGGTTTTTCAACGTTTACTAATTTCTTTGCCTATTCCGTCATTGTTATAATAGTGTCCTCTCGACCACCGTATGGCGGGCTGAGACTATTTATGGACTTTCTTCTGCTTTGTAGGCTCCACTGATTGAGCTCCTCGCGCGTGATGGAACATATTGTGTCAGAAGCATTGAACTAACAGCGTCGTGTAGTCTATGCCACGAATCTTCGAAGCACTTGAAGCCGGAGAGGGCTGTTCTCATCCAATGAAGACGAACGGCGAACAGGGGTGAACTTCTAACCCATGGTTCGTCTGGAGAGCCAATCCTATTTTGGAACATACCCCTGCAAGCCTGCCTCACTTTCAACTTCTTGAGACAAAGCAAAAATCAAAATCGTGGCGGCGAGGCGAAAAGTTGCAGCTGGGTTTTTCCATCGTCAACCTAGTGAATATTAAGCTGGTAATGAGGCCTCAAAACTGTACTGTGCGGCGAAGACTCCGGCCTCCGGCCTATTCCTATTACGCGCGCCAGATATGCACGGATCACTTGAAAATCCTTCGATAAGCGGACTTATGGCTTTGCCGATATGCGTGAGACGACGTTTAAGCGCTTGACTTCAAGCCGAGTGTTTTGCCTGCGGACGGGTAGGGCGGTTATTCAGATTGTCTCCGTAGGATAGATCCGTGCAGTGGCTGCGTTCGTTGGACACGTGCATGACGCCATGCAGCTGCCGAAATGATATGTGAGATACTCGTGGTTGTTGCTTATTGGTCCACGGTGTCTCTCACAGAAGTGGGGTCTGTCGTAGGACCTCAAAGCCTCAGCATCGCAATTCTACGTAGTCATGCATTAAAATAGTTGGTTGCCCTTCCTTCACCCCGCAGTTTCTATTGGCTAGTCTGGTAGGTGTGTCGCAGCGACCATAGAAATCTTGTCCTGATTATCTGGCAGGTATCCTTGTAAACCCGAGTCGGGGGCCGAGCGAAGTGATCTCATATCAGTCGGCCGTGACAACAGTAGGCCATCAATAGTCATATTTTCCCCCAAGAATCTCTTTGGCATTTCGATACGAACAATATAGGTTACATGGCTGTCACTTTAAGAAGTAGCCCAATCCGCATACCTCCCCAGAGACCCGGAATAGCGAGCAAAACGTTTAGCTTCCGGTGCAAGGCGTCATGTTTGAAGAATTGCTTCAAGTACTTTCCCTTCTTGCTCCCCTCAAGGGCCTTCAGTACAGCCCACCAATTGTTCGCAGCGAGTGGATCCCGCGGCGTATTGAGGTGGCCCTCGTAGTAGTTGATCCGCTCGTAAATCAGTCCATCGGCGGGACGATTGTCATTTGGGTATCGCTCCTTCAGCGATTGAATGAACTTGTGGCGCACAGACTCCACGTCATTGCTGTCGTTTTCGGTCGAGACTAGACAATTGTTAACGGGGGTCCTCCCAGCGAGAGATGAGAAAACGCACCTTCGTCATTATCTGTTAGATACACATCTACGATCCACCACTGGTTGTCGTAGTCGAGGACGTGTTTGGCTGCCGTGATGAGATTTTCGTGATCGTACGCGCACAATCGGTAATCTAGTCCAATCTCCAAGCTAAGAATGACTCCATTGCCACTTCGCGGACGAACGCGTTCTTGCCAATGCGCCTTGGGAACTATCACGGGTACATGATTGTCCCGCATCAAGCGTTGGCACCCTTGAATCTTCATCATTTGTTTCAATTGGCGCATGTTCTGTCGGTCGTCCATTCGTCCTTTGAATCCGGTTTCGAAAACGAGGTAAGAAATGTGCACTCTAGCAGATAGCTCGAAATGACTTTTCTTATAGTCGTATAGTTTTCGTTCCCAATGTTCAACTTCTGACTGCCTGGAACGTGACATGATGGTATTCAAAGAAGGTGACTTGTGATCGAAGATGAGACAACATTCTATATACCGAGTCGCACTCTCTGCGGTAGTCTTTATAGCTTGGGAATTGAATACATTTCAGAAGAGTGAAGAGCTAATGACTTGACTTGACGATCGATCACTTCAAATTGCATGCCCTCCTTTTCCAGCGGTCGATGCAGTCAAAACCGCCCCCCATTGATTAAGCCGTTGATTTTGGGAGGCAACTTTCTGCTCTGTCGCGCTTTCTCTTCCCCATAAGTGAGTTGAAAATTGCGCCGGCCTCAATTCTCTAGCTTGCCGAATTCTAGCATCTCGGACCAGGCTAATTATCTTGAAGCTGTATATAAAAGCTACCTGGTATTGTGAGAAGTTGGTTATGAAGTATTATGCGGATGTGAGGTTCATCATCGTCAGTCTCTCGCTTGGAACCATGAAGCTTTCCACCAAGAGCACATTGGATTGTCTGGTCTCAACCACGGCATTGTCATTTTCCGTCGCGGTTCTAGTCTGTCTATCATTCGTCTTTGTCGGATGTTCGTCATCTTCCTCACCGTCGGATCTATACTTTTTAAAAGTGGGATAAACCCAAAAATCTTCAATCATAATGACTTCGCTAAACAATGGGTAGTTAGACTTGAAAGACTTTCCAAAGCTTGGTGATTTGCAGATTCGGGACTCATTCCACATGGACCGTGCGCGTATACATCGTGGGGGAAACAATACCGTCGAAGTGGCCTCTAGCCTCGATACAGCCGCAAACGAAGCACTGACTGGGGCAACTTCGGCTTCCAGCAAAAGGCTTCAAGCCCAAATAGAGGCCTTAAAATCACACTTGCCACGATACTATTTCGTTGGTCTCCGGGGCTACTGTGAGTCCAGGGATGGCTCGGAGATGGTGTGCTCCGACCCCAGCACATCTTTTTCTTTCAATCTATCTTCACTGCTTGACTCTACCGCGGTCAAAGTCAGCAATTTACTTCCAGAGATCGATCAGAGTTCAATTTCTGGCCACCATCGACTCTCCCTTAGTGTGATCCGATTGTATATTTCCGGTTTTGTGGCAACCACATTGACAATCATCTTAGCTGGGCGTAAGTATTTCTTCTCCAGTACATGTAGTAGCAGGTTACTGGCCATATTCTGCACGGTATGTAATACTTGGGAAAACATAGACTAAACACGCTGACACACTAAGCTTTCCTCGATACTCATTACGACCGCCACAGTTTTGGTCTCGCTGCTGTATGGTCTTTTTGCTTCTGTCGTCAAAAACAACTTGAAGAACTATGGAGTCCAGGTCAACTTGGGAGCAAAGATGCTAATGACGGCGTGGTTGGCCTTGTTTCTCTCCATTGCCAGTGCGATTATATGGCTGATACAAATTTTCTGTTGCTGCATCTGAATGGTGAGCCAATTGCGGGTCTTCATTTTGTTTTTACGCAGTGGAGAGAACTGGAGATTCATCTATATCCTCTATTTTACATGGTTGACGAAGGATTGTATTGCTTGCTTCTGTAGATTACTACCATGTAATTGGGGGTGCTTTTTAAATATCCTATTCGTCAATCTTTGCACCAGTATTTGTTGAGCTCTCCATTCTTCCATAGTTTGAATGGTACAATTGTATATGATGAAATGGAATTTTGGGATTCTTGAATCTGTAGTAAGCAAAATCGGGAACACGAGAATACGAGAAGCTCACTAAAGCAGAACAGCCAATCCTTTCCGTGTTGGGCACTTGATAGGCTCAAGTGTGACAGCGCTTTTTTGCTGTTATTTGAGATCTGGATCTGTGTACATCCTTCTGATGGGCTCAAGAACTGCACGTGCCGAAACTGATGCATTCACGGGACACAACTCCTCACATGCCGCTTGAGCTTCGCATGCCCTTTCCACCAGGGTGCAAATTGTATTTTGAAAAGTTTGAAGTACTTGGTGCACAGAATTCTTCGAGTTTTCGGCACCGAATCTGTAGAGTGTTTGTAGCTCGTGCAAAGTGTGCTCGGTGAGGTCTTGGAGTAGCTTGAAGAGAGCATAACAATCACGGTAGTACGCATTATGTGCTTGCTGTTGCCCGATCTGTCGTACAAGAGGCACAATCTGTTCCATGTCCTTGGATTGCGTGAAGGCTTATTGGG